ATATTGCATTTCACGTCATAAAAAACTAGATAGTTTCACTAATGACAAAAACTAACATTATTCTATGTTATTATTTGTTTTACCTGAACACATTAAGCGCAATTTCACCGAAAATACTAATTAGTTTTCGGATAAATCTCCGACCAGAACTAATTACGTGATAATTTCAAATTATCATACATAAAACATCATCTCTGTTAAAAATACGAAAGACATTTGGTCAAAAAATTGCAGCACCGTCAGCATGCGATTCATCTCCATATTCGCCCTGATTTGTTTTGCCTAAACTTGTTACGCGAAATCTTTCAAAATATCACTGTAATTCATGAATAGCACCGATCAAATACAATGTTTCTTGGAATTTTCATCCATCGCACACCATCCTTGTTAAAAAGCCATATGAAAAAGACCAATCTAAAATACTAGATTTCTACATTAAGAGCAGTAATGTGCGAAGGGGTGTGGATGAGAAACTTTTTTGTTGCTAAAATTATTCGAATTTGCTAGGGTCTTTCATTCAAAATGTGAGGACCTTTTTTTGGTCGTCAATTTTGGAAACTGACAAATCTTTTGATTTTCTAGAGTTTTTCGGAATCTGAGAGGATTTTTTTCAATTTTCTAGGGTTTTTTAGGGATTTTAGATATAAATCAGACATTACATTGAGATATTTTCAGCTAGCTGAATCAGTTCAGCTAGAAGTGATTGCTATGTTGTTTGTAAAAATTGAAGTGTTTTTATAAAGATGATAATTTGAAGTAATAGTGTTTTTATGTTCAGTGCATCTCTATTCAGTTTTTTTTTTTTTCATTTTTGTCGCATATTTTCCATTTTATCGCTATAATGCAAAGCACGCCGAAAACGACAGCTGAGAAACTCAGCAACTTCACTATGGTTGACTGTGCTTATGTTAAGTGACCCAAACGATAACAATTTTCTCGTATATTTTCGAAATAAAATGACAAAATTACATCGGGCTAGCCAACGCATCGACATGTTATGCATGTTTTTCTATTTTCCATTATTTTTATACTTCTGACATTTAATTATTTTTTCGATCAAATAATTTGTTTATTTAATACGCTATGCAGTTTGCATATACACTTTTTTTGTCGACCTCGAAAAAAGAGAGTTCGACCAAAACAATTGAAATCCAGAGAGGAAACCATATCAATTTCGATACATTAAATTTGCTTCGAAAAGGAGTTTTGAATGCTGCTTTTGACAATTTTTTTCAATTCCAATTACGAGCATAATATCAAAAAGCATATCAAAGTTGTTGCTAGTATTGCTACACACTAAGTGCTAATTATTAATCCCACTTAAAATGATGCAAATTATCGATTAAAAAAAAAAATATTGCTCGTGGTTTCCGAAAATATTCGCAAAAGTGCAAACATCCATTATATTGTAACATTTGCACGGTGGCGGCATATACACCACAGCGATATATTGAAAACATTAAATTTGCGTCGTAGGATGGTGGACAGTAAGTATCGGTATGACAGCAACTGACCGGTTAGCTTCAACCGATGTTTGTTCAAAAGAGTGTCATACACAGAAAACGAACGTTAATCGTAATTGCATGCGACAAGCACATAGAAACATTTTTGTTTTCATTGCTGAATGAAACGGAAAAAAATACACACGAAAAGAGAGAAAAAGAGAGAGGGCGCATACGATCACGACTAATGCATACCAAAAGTGTGGAAAATGGAAATATTTTTCATGAAATGTATGTTTTTGGCCATTGCTATCTGACAAATACAATTAAGCAATAAATATTTGTTTGAATCACAGCTGGTACTTGTATCACACTGTGAGCATGTGAGAGAGTCGTGCAATTTTTCAGTCTGGCGATTAAAATGAATGTATATGAATAGTTCTGATGCATTGATGCAGAAAAATGGATACAGTTTTTTGAAATATAAAATTCCAAAATACCACACAATTAGTCGGTGCCATAAGTCACAAATAATCAATTGAATTTCGAATGATTTAAAAAAATACATTCATTCACACACGCGTACCTCACGCGTATATACGCCCATACTAAAATGGGATAGTTATCTATTATTAATTCATTGAAGTGCAACATATTTCCATGAAACATTAATGTGACAAAATCCATTATGTATTAGTAGTCGTATTCAATCGATTTTTTTTGCAATTGAAATTGTTCATTTAATAATTGATTTTGTTATGTTTTATTGCAGATTTGTTGATTTGTAGTGGTGTTGTCGCAATAAACAAAACCACAACTACAAAAAAAACCCACATTGATTGTAAATGTACATAAACTACAAGGCAATACGGAGGGACTTAAAAGTGCATTAGCTCGTCTAAGACATCGAACGGGCTCACCATCATCATCGCCGTCGTCAACATCATCGCCAACTCCAAATACCTCATCAAAATCTGTAGCTGCTGCTGCTGTTGCCGCCGTTCTTTCGTCTACATCATCCGATAGCCGAAACGTGAGTACAATTCACTTCTTGCATTTCTTTTTCATTTCAATTTCAGCTGCAATATGCACTGTATTTCAATTAATATTGAGCACTTCCTCTTTGAAATGAACTTGCCATACATATGGCATTATATATCTATAATCTATATATATATAAGGAATATATATACAAACAAAGTTTTGCTCTGTCAAACTGAATTAAAAACTTTTATTGCTTTCATTATTCTCCGATTCAAAATCCATTTGAGTGGATTTTGAGTTGTCGATGAAAACAACGAAGCAACGGATAAAACACACACACAGAGACCAATAAGAGACAGAGAATGGGAACGAAATACAGTTTAAAACGGATCACATAATTTCATTCAACATTACGCCAGTGGATAAATGGAATATGAAGACATGTCAGATTAAAGTAAATTGAATGCCCAGCATGTTTGACTTTCGTGATGAGCTTTTTTCTGATTTATCAGTGCGATCCAAACTCGTTAGATGTATGCACTGCAGTCGGATCTCTCTCTGTATGTTTAATACCAATTTCATGCATGACAACATTTTCATCGGTGTGAATCATTTGTTATTGTAAGCGGCACAAATACACGAAAAATTTACTGTTCGGTTGTACAACGAGTAGCGGAATCACTTTTGGGGATTTATTGTCAAAGTTGATCAAACATGTTGCAATAATCCTGAACGTGAACATAACAAAGCAACGTACATTTCAAACATTGCATCGAACATTTTGCAGAAAAGTGAATGAAATGAATCTAAGTCTCATTCAACATGCACTTGACAACTTCCTCTTCTCTTTCTCACATTCTCACACACCCATTCTCGGCGCATGAACGTTATTGCTGTTGTTTCCATGTCAAATTGCTTGAATGTTATTCGTTTATTGCATCGGCGTTCTGGTGTTTGTGTCTGTGTGAGAGTACATTTGTGTCGCCTTTGATCATTTGATATTCACAAAATAAAAATTCAAACGCAAGTACAACGAAAATGTTAATTTAATGACAAAACTTTCGGGAATATATTCACTCATATGAAGGAAAAAGGCATACATAGTATGTATTACATACATTAGCAGACGCAAACTTATTTCAAGTTATCGAATTTAGAAATATTCCCAAGATAACATTTACAAAAAAATAAAATATATTTTAGATAATAGCCTTTGTTCCTCCTGAGATAGTGAGTTTTCTTTTTAGAAATTTGGCAAAAATTCACTAATTCCCAAAATCAATCGACCAATGCATAGCAAAAACGACAACATAATTTTGTGTGAAAATTCAAAATGTTGAAAATGTAAGGCAATTTTCTTTATCAATTTTTTAAAATAACTCTATTTCAGAATGCTGAATGTTCACATTTTTATTCTTTCTAATATTAATTTTATAATCCATTTCATTTAGAAATAATTTACAGATAAATAAAAAAAACTTCTCTCCGTTGATAATTGGCAGTGCTAAGCGCTATCGAAATAGAACTGAACTAAAATACACAAAATTAAAGTCGAATTGAATTTTGACATTCTGTTTAAATGAGACGTAGGAATATACTGCAATATACTCACAACAGTAGCTATTGGCTATTGTAACCATTTAAATGTAATTTCATTTTCCAACTAAGTTAAATTGAAAGGAGACGCCAATTTTCGTTTCCAAAATTGAATATCGTATCGCATTCAAATGAAAGTCTCTACTCTCATTACTCATTTCGGTGAAATATAAAGAAGTGTAAAAGCCAAGAGATAGATGATTCAATTTAATTGAAAAGAAAGGACATATTGAGCCAATGAAATTGAAACGACCAATTGCAATTCATTTCAATTCAATGCTATCGCAGTAGTATAGTATACCAAGTACAATTAAATCAATAGACACTGTTTTTTTTTTTAAATATAATGCAAAGTTACGGTGAGGGAGTTGATTTGCGGCTGTTTTGAATCAAAATTACAGTTCTGGAAAGGGAGAAAGAAAAATAAGCGAATTTCAAAAACATACGAAATGGCATTGAAAAAAAAGGAAACTATGATGATATCGTTGTAGAGTAATTAATCATCGAATAAAGATGTGATACAAGCAGCAGGTTGAAATAACACTCTTGAATCCACTCTTTTTTTGAAAACAATATAATTAATGTCTTATTGTTCCAAACGAAATGTTTCGACTACAATATGTTTGTTTCTGTTTTCAATTCAAAATTGGATTGATATATATCATGTGCGAGTGTATGCATTCAAGAGAAATTAATTGACCATATAGTAAAAGTTAAACATTGCAGACGAATCGATTTAGATGGATAATCAACAAATACAATAGATTCCATTCGTATCACTTTTGTGTCAAGATGTTTGATTATATTTTGATGTTCATTGTTGATGATGACAATCAATACTGTATGAAACATAAATGTATTTTGCATCTGAGCTCCGAAGATCGGATCAACCTTATTGTGAAAATTGTGATAATGGCTTTGACCAAAGTTCAAGAAACCAAACAACTTGAACTATTTTACATTGGCCATTGGTCATCATTTGATGGCATTCAATATTCGTGTTAGGCTTAATCACTGTTATGGCATTTTGATATTTGATAAATTGGCTCGTGAATTGAAACGATGCTGTAAAAATCTTGAGAATTTGTCGATTCGTTTAAATTCGGGAATCGCTTATTCATCGCCATTTGTAACAAAATTTATCGAATCGAGAAAAATCGACCAAATACTCTCCCATTCTTAGTGAAACGAAGTCTTTTGTTGTTCACATATACACTATCATTTTATTGATGGAATTTACAATTTAAGTCCTTCCAACTGTAAATTTTTCGTGCTTGATTGAGTGTATGAGATTATCTTCTTTCGATCGATAGCATCGAGTTCAATATATATATATATATATATCTGTATAAATGTATTTAGTATGCAAAATGTGTCGCATGTTACAAAGCAGATTATATATTCATGCTTTTACCCGATATCACCGGGACTTTGCAATGAGCAGTCGTAGACATCGATTGAGAAACAAAATGAAAGAGAAAAGGGGGAGAAATTGAGAGCGATAGAGAAATCAAGATAAAAATGACCAGATACGTGTTTTGAAGGGGGATAAAAATCACAATAATATTGTCTATTTTTTTACATTAAATGTCACTAATCGAAGTCGTTGTTTAATTATACTTTGTATTGAATTTTAAAACTTTTTTTTGTTCAATAGTGTTCTTCAATTTATTCCAATTTACGTTAAAATCGTTCGTTCGCTCGATTGCTTTCTCTTAAGCTTGAATACCAACGATATATATATATCCTCTTATTATTCAAGTCGATTACTGTGCCAACAATAGATGGTGGAAAAAGCGACAGTTGGATCTCAAAATAAGTGAATCTGAATTGAGAGTCATATTTGCTCTGATTATGTTATAATTTTTGAATCATTGGAAATCAATGTGGGCACATGAAATCCGTTTGCATTTGATAGACGCCTGAAATCAAACACAATAGAAAACCAATCATCTCTGATTTTCTCACTACATAGAAATAGTGCGCTCATTCGCTTACATCGTAGTGTAGTAGCTTCTGTTGATAATGTATACAAATGTTGCTTATATACATGCATCGTCTGATGCACACGAAATAACAAAACATAAAAACTACCTCCTAAACATACATATATGTATATATTTTTTGTTATTCGTATGTTGTGATGTTACTGTGCGTTAGTGGAATAACGTGTTGTTTATGTAAATCAGAAAGCTTTTGCATATATATTTTTTTATATTGATTGCCTGTTCGGAAATTCCAGTCTCTTTCATTTATGATGCCAATTGATTGATGTGTATGTGTGTGTGTTTGCATTTCTTTATATTATTATTTACATCCGTACGGTGTGTGGGTGTGTGTGTGTCAACCATTTTCATAAGAATTGATGCAGCATTCAAAGTCTTTTCAAGTGTTCAGTTTAGTTTTGTATCTCCGTTGAAAATCACTTGCTTTAATGATTCTTAAGGCTTAAAAGAGATTTGACGGTTCGGTGTAACATACAGTTTCTATTAGTTAGTACAAATCGCAATGACGAAAGATTATTAAATGATAACTGTGCGTGAGATTTTCGAATTTATTTTATATAACCAATATCTCTCTGTTCGATATTATTTCATTTGTATTTGAAAACATCGAGTATTGAATCGAGACTACATATTTCCATTAACCACCCACACGCATGCTAATTTTTTTGCAATTCTGGAAGAGTAAACACGAATGGATATTTGAAATGACCGATGTCTGCATACGAAATTCTCTGCTGTCACTTGTAATCGACAGCACTCAGTTTGTTCGTTCCAAAGCTAAATACACATAGATTTACCAATTGAAGGGTGTTTGATTTATTATTGTCATGTGCATTGTATACGGAGAAATTCGGAATGAATTTGAATTCATAATTTTTTTATGGCATAAAAATTACATAGCGAAACCACAATTTCAATGGGGATGTATGAGTAAATTCTGTTGCAATTTTGGTTGTATGCTTCAATGGTTTATTTAAGAAGTTTGTTCAAATTTAGTGGACGGATAACAATGAAATTTTACAAATATTTGCTAGCATATTTCAATTTCATTTTATGCGATGAACTCAAATTGGTTGAACAGAGTTCTTAGTATTTTAAAATAGTGTAAAAACCGAGTGAAAATTGAAACTATAGAAAAATACTGAACGACGTGTTTCGATTGCACATTGCATTGCATTCTGCAAAGGAAATAGTGAATTGTGAATTCATTGCCTTGACCGGTACATGCTTACTCTCTATTGCATTGAATTGGGTGGGCAAAATGCACTGAATAGAAATAGTAATTTAATTAAAATCTCAACTGTTTTGCATTTGAAATAGTTAAAACAAATATAAAATGCAAGGTGAGAGTGAGAACGTGTGAACAAGGTATGTATTATTATTCGAATGCAAAAAAGTTCGTATATTGTACACAACCCTCGTCGTCGAATAAATGCAAAGCATAAAA